GTAAAACAAGCTTTTGAATGCTAGACATTAGTCTTCAGGTCCCCTGTTAAACCTCGGAGTGAAAAGAAAACAAAGACCAACATACATTTAAGCAGCGGTTATAATAAACGGTAGAAGTCTAAGGATGTAGTATTCCTACAGCAAAGGATAAAAGCACAACGTCTACTCTAGATTGCTTCAGTGGACTAGGTACTAAAGAACAAAAAGCGCGCTAAGGTAGTTCAGTACCGAGGCAGCTTTTTATCCTGTATTTTAGAGACATGTTCCACAGTCCCTGGTACCTGAGTAAAGCTGACAGTAAGCTTTAAGAGACTCCTTTGACATTTATTGAAGTTGTTGATGATCCTTCTTTTAATTTTAATTTTTAAAGCATTGTTACAAACTACTTGTTCATCTTAAGCCTTTTTCTGGATCTTGATAACTAGTTGTTTTCTAATAGATTTGTTTTATTCTCAGTGTATTGCAGTATACCCCCACTAACAAACTCTGACCAACTCTAATCTTAGCTTTCTGCTGCGGAATATACTTCTTAAATTCTTGTAGTGACTGGTGTGTATTTGTCACGCTATTAAGTGCTTTTTCCTGAAAGTTGTCACCTAAAAACAAATGAAGTTGAATCCCTTGCTTGTTATCTGATCAGGATTGATCACTGGAATAATGAAAAGGAGCGCCTGGTTCTTATCACCGACTGGTCTCTTCTGATCTGTAAATATGACTTCATCAACCTGCAGTGTGAGCAAGTGACTAGAATATCGCTTAATGCAGTTGATACAATTTCTGTTGGAGAATTTGAGTTCCCACCTAAATCACTGAATAAGTAAGTTCTGATTTGCTGGGTCTGATACTGCTAACATTAAAGCTTTCAGTCTTCTTATCTTGTTAGTGTTCAGATTTCTGAAAAAGTTACAAACTTTTTTTTTTTGGAATCTAAGTATTACTGAAATTGCTATGGGAGATCAGTAAGGAAGTTGTCATTGAGATGGTTATCAGATAGACTTAAGTTATTATCTTACTCTTGAAGTACTTTTTTAAAATAAAGTTGCAATTATTATTAGGGAAACAAGCTCCTAGCACCTCAACTCAACTGGTTTATAATAGTGCTACCTTAACTTACGTGTGAATAAGTCTTGTTATATTGAGCACTGCCGTTACCACAGCCCACACTTTATGTACCTTATGCTTTATGGTACTTCAGTGTACATCTAGATGTCTAGGTTCTAATAAACCTAAACTTTTTACAACATTAACTATTAAAATCTTTGCTTACCATGAAAACTGAACAGTGAAGATGTTTATGATACTCTGATAATTGTCTTGAGACCACCTGCTGCTATCAAACTTAAATCCTAAAAATGCACTTTTAGTTTTCTCGGATATTGCATTTTTAATCAGTAAACTTGGTGTGAAAATTTAAGTGCTACATTATCAAGTGTATTGTCTTTGAATTTTAGGCGAGAAGGTATTGGTATTCGAATTCAATGGGATAAGCAAAGCCGTGCCTCCTTCATAAACAGATGGAATCCATGGTCCAAAAACGTGCCGTATGCTACTTTTACGGAACATCCAATGGCAGATGCTGATGAGAAGATTGCATCACTTTGCCAAGTAAGGAAATAATCTGTGTTGTACCAGCTATGACAAGATAAATAGAGTAGGTTAGATATAGTTGTACCCTTTGCAAAAATCAGAGGACATACTCAGCTAAATAGAAGGCACAAAACTAGTTAAAGCACATAGGTCAAAACTTCTCTGTTCCCCATTCACTTAACATTGTGCTGCTACTTAGCTATTGCTAGCAAGTGCATTTTTGGTAACTCTCCTATTAAATCTCCACCTCCTTTTCACTACACTAACAACGTACACACACCTTTGAAGCCAAAAGGAGAGGAAAATATTTTTCCACAGCACCAGAAATCTAATCCTTTTTTTGAGTTTTAACTAGACAGGTGCCCAGGTTTTACCTAAAGTAGTTGTAGCCCAAGGTTCCAAAACGTTTGTGGTAGATCAGTAGGTACAAGACAAAGAAATCCTCCCATGTGCACTATATCAGTCTCTTCTTTAGTTCAGTGGTTTTAGACAACGTTTCTTCAGAGGCTTTTGGAGTAAAGAGCTGGAGCTTTTCCAAGCTGTAGCACAGAGAGCATTCAACATTGTATAACAGCTGAAGCTCTTTAAATCTGTTGCAAAAATCTTTTGGTAGGCATTAATAAAGGTCTAGTTTGAAACAACAGCATCATTAAGGGTTCAAGGCAAGAATGTGGATTTGATTATGGCTTGCACCTTCCTTACAACTACAGCTCACTTGCTAATTAATGGTGGCTTGCATTTCAGTTGCAAAGCCCCTCCTGTAAAATTATACTTTGGTAGAGAACTAATGGGAAAGTGTCAAGTGATGCAGTCATAATTAATAAGGTGTTTACATTTTTTTTTCAGTTGGAAAACTTTAAGACTCAATTAATCCAAGCAGTGAAGAAAGCCCATAAAGAGTGTCCACTGCCAGGAAGAGCTAATGGAGTACTAGTCCTGGAGCGGCCTCTTCTCATTGAAACTTATGTGGGATTGATGTCCTTCATCAACAATGAAGCCAAACTTGGCTATTCCATGACAAGAGGCAAAATTGGATTTTAAATTCACAGTATTTAATCTATGCCAAGGAGAATTGATTTCAAGCTAGTATCAAGGTGGGAGTTTACCATGTAGCAGATTACTCCAGGGCAACAAAAGAAAAAAGCATATAAACAGAAAAGGGATTGGCTAGCTGTAAAATGAGCAGTTAACAGAAATCACTTTGCTGTTATAAAGGTTACTAGAATCTTCAGTCAAATAGACCTCAGGTGGTCACAAGCTAATTG